GTGGGGTGGCCCTGGGGAGCCAGGTGAGTGCCGCCCGCTGAGGCGATGGGGGCGCCAGGCTGTCGCCGTGCCAGCCCTCAGGGCGCCGTCCCCCTGACCACAGGAGACAGAAGGGCTGCCTTAAACCGCCCCCCACACCGCCACCGGGGAGAGGCCTGGTCTGTGGACAGCGGAGTCCGCAGGGCCTCATGCAACCGTCCTCTCTTCCTCCAGGTTCACGGCGGGGGGGGCTCCCGTCTTTTTTTAAATAAAAATACAAAACCTCCGGTCATTCGGCTGTGACCCCTGAGCACACACGGAGGAGCAGTACTTGCAAGTTTCCTAAGGAAACGCTCGGGGAGCCAGGGGCAGGCACGCCCTTCCCTGGTTTCCAAAGGGAAACGAAACGTCTCCTTATTTCTAACGAGAGGCCCGGTGCGCGAATTCGTGCACGGGTGGGTCCCTTGGCCTGGGCGGCTATCAGGGCTGATCCGGGCCGTCACCCAGTCCCAGTTGGACCGATCCAGGCAGCTGACAGGGGGGAGGAGGGGTGGGACCGCAGGAGGTTGGCCAGCAGCGGGGAGGGACCGAGGGAGGTGGACTTGAGAGCACACTGACCCCCAGGGGCAGCTCCTGCGTTGAGCGTCTGCCCTCTGGTGGTCAGTGCGTGTCATAGCTACTGGCCGGACGTCCAGTCGTAAAGGTTGCTCAGGCTTTTATATACATAGATGTGTTTGTCCTCACGGGAGCCCTCTAGACGCAGGTCTGACAGGCCCTCCCTCCTGGTCAGGAATTCTTCGACAGTAACCACATTTACAGAGTGTGTTGAGCTCTTTTAACTTGTATTCTTATGTTTTCTAAGTAGTGCCAGGAGACGCGCTGTCCTGCTGTGAGCCCGGAAGGGGGATGGGTCAGCTGCCTGTCGGTGGCTGTGGCCTGTTTCTCCGCTTCGCTCCCAGGGATGCTGTTGGGTGAGGTGTGTCATGTTGACAATGACCTCTTCTGGTTTTATTGCAAAGAATGGATTTTTTAAAAATATATTTTTAGCCATAACCGGTTTGGCTCAGTGGGTAGAGCGTCGGCCGGCGGACTCAAGGGTCCCAGGTTCGATTCCGGTCAAGGGCATGTACCTTGGTTGCGGGCACATCCCCAGTGGGGGGTGTGCAGGAGGCAGCTGATCGATGTTTCTCTCTCATCAATGTTTCTAACTTTCTATCTCTCTCCCTTCCTCTCTGTAAAAAATCAATAAAATATATTTAAAAAAAAAAAAGATATGTGCAGTGTGCATAGGAATTTGTTGATAGTTTTTTTTTAAACTATAGTCCGGCCCTCCAATGGTCTGAGGGCCAGTGAACTGGCCCCCTGTTTAAAAAGTTTAAGGATCCCTGCCCCGAGTGGTCCCAGACTGCGAGAGGGCACAGGCCGGGCTGAGGGAACCCCTCGG